GCTCCCCCTCGGAGCCTGATGGATGGTCACCGTCGCCACAAGCGTGAACTCGTAATTCACAAAGCCGTACACGTTACCATACTGCCACATGTTCACTGGCCAAAAGGCGTAGGACCCGGCCCCAGTGAACTCAAAGCCATTGTCGACCTTCTTTCCATTCGTCACAACTGCGTTCAGGCAACGGTACGCGTCGTCCCACGTTGCATCACTCGACGCATCCGACAGGAATCCAACCAGGCCGGCCGTGGGCACAGACGACTTGGAGAAGGCGGAGTCCAGCTCTGCCCAAGTGCCCAAGACCGACGTGATTGTCTTCAACTCCTCCGCCAGGGGGGACAAAATCAGGCTCACGTTCGTTGTTCCGCTGCCTCTCTCCTGCAAAAAGTGCAGTTTATCGTTCGAGTACAGCAGGGCGCTGGAGAGTGTGATATTCCCATCAGCGTCCATGGAAATGGGCCCGACGCGAAACGTCCGGTTGTTGTCGGTGGCCCAAAGAAAAAGATCCTTTGCCTCCGCCTCCGCCTCCCCGAGTGGGTAGTTTTTCTGGGTGTACAGCATGACCCTCGTTCCAGCAATCGTCGCGGTGGTGAGGGACGTCACACGCCGAGGCCGTTGCAAAGGGTTTGATCCAAAATCTCCCTGCACGCGCGAGAGTGTGCTGACAGACTCCGTCCACGTTGCCCCCATGTCCCTCGACTCGAACACCCTGCGGCTAAACACACAATCGGCAATCATGAGAAGCTGCCCCGCCTCCCACTCGGCGAGGAGGGACGAAGCGCAGCCAGCGGGGAGCATCCCCGCTGAGAGCGCCCACGTTTGGCCGTCGTCCGTCGAATAAAGGAGCATGGAGACAGCGCCGGCATCTCCCGTCCTTTTCCACCCAAACACAGGAAACACAGGCGCGCCACTCGCCATCACAACACCTGAGCCACCAGCCCCAAAAAGGCCCCCCAGTTCAAGTTTGACAGCAAACGGCATGAGCTTTTGTACCAGCGAGATGGGTGGGGCCCATTGGATCTGTCCACCTTGTGTGGCCTCACCCACCAGCAAATCAAACCCCGGGAAGGATGGCAACCATTTTGAGGCAGTTTGGTTATATTCCATGTGGGCGCTTCCCACAAGAAGAAAAACCTTGTTGCCCTTTGCAACTGTTGTGGGGTAGGATGCCCGGTACACAGAGGTCTCTGTTCTGGGTGTGCCAAAGACGGTGTGTGCCTTCCAATTATTTGAGTTGACCTCAGCGGCAAGAGACGCCCAGCTCTCCGAGGCATTGATGTACACCGCCACAATATAAGCAGAATCAAGGGGTTGCGGTGACTGGGGGTCTGTATAGTAGATGTGGCCTTCGGCAAAAGCAACCAAGACTCCACCAGCACTGGCGAGCGAAGGCGAAGTAAAAGAATCCCTCGTTTTTCTTGCTGCTACAGCGTTCGATTCCACTTGCGTCTTATTTGGCACGAAAAGCTCAACGCTCTGCGGCAGTTGCACTTCCTTTGGTTTCTCCTCCTCAGCGTGCACAGTTCCATAGCCGCAGCAGCATATCAGCACAACGAGGAGCAGCAGCACCGCGGCGGAAAAGACGCCGCGGCATGTTGGGTCTCTCTCTCTTATTTCTTCGATACTCCCTTGTGGCGGATCCGCTCAGGCCGCAACGGTTGTGTGTGTGTGTGTGTGTGCTTAGGCGAGAAGTGGCAGCTAGTTGTGGGAGAAATGGGCAAGGCGGCGGTAGGCACTGTCGCCACCCTCAGTGGGGCACAACACTGCAACAATCATTTCCCCGCACTGCCACCAACTCAGCAAACGCACGGTGGAGGCGCCGAGGACGAGCGTGTGCGTCGTCACGCAAACCTCTCGCGCCAATAGCCGCACTCAAGGACAGTTGCAGAGCATCCTTTCTTCTTCTTGGTTTCCTGTTGTGCGCGGCAAAGCAAACGCCACTCCCCAGCGCCATTCGCTCGTTCACTCTCTCTCTCTCTCTCTCCACCTCTCTTGGCGCCTCAAGAAGGAACGAAACACAACCAACCAACCAACACACACACACACACGCACAATGCGTATGGGGGAAGTAGGGGCCCCAACGCATCTCACAGACCCCCCTCCCGGAGCCAGGATAGGGCAAGAGGAAGAAAAGAAAAAAAAAGTGTTTTTCAGAATGCATTGGATTCCCAGAGGTTCAGCAAGAACTTTTTCCCACTAAAAAGTGAAACCGACGTGTTACCGGCAACGCTCCTTCGATCGGAAGGAGATGGGGAGAGGGGAAGAGCGGGTTTCACGGCAATAGATGCGTGTGGTGGTAACTGGGCCGCAAAAAGGTCAATGGCATTGTGCTCGCTAAAAAGGCCAACGCCGCGTTTTTCACCGCCGCTGACCCGCGTGCCGTGTTCGTCCCCGTCCCCCACTTTTCCGTGGCAGGGCGCCAGGCTTTCCAACAGATGTGCCGTTTCCATTGGCATGAGCTCGTCGTTGATGCAGGTCGCACTATCACGGTAAAACCGGTCCCTCGAGCAGCAAAACTGGCAAAGAAAGGTGGCGCTTTGCCGGACAAAAAATGACGCCTGCCGCCGCTTACAAACGGCACATCGAAAATTCGCCCGGAGACGCGTTATGGCCGCGTCGGAAAGTGTGGCGTAATTCTGAGCCCCATGCGCCCTCCTGAGGCAGGGCCCAAAGGCTGCCGAAGCTGGCAAGGTGGGGGACGCCGTCGTCTCCTGCCGCTGGGCCTGAGCCGGGCCGCCGCCACTGCGCAGAAAAGGGTTTTTCCCCTTGAACAGAATCATTTGTATTTGACTCGTGAGAGTGTCCAGCCTCCGCTTCGCCGAGGTGTGACAGTCCGAGCAAAGGTACCCGTGAACAGGCCTCTTAAAAAACTGCTGAAACATGTCAATATCGGACTCCTCAATCTTCATAAGCCCCTTGTCGCGCTGCGCCCATCTCCGCTTGTGCTGTCGCGCGGCCTCCTGGTTGAGAATGCAATGCTGCACCTTCGCCACCATCCTGCTCGTGCTCTGCTCCGCGGGTGCGGACAGAACCCCAAGAAGCGCGTCGGTCCGCGGCCCCGACGCCTGAAACCCGCCCTCGCCTCCAGCCGCCCCGTCCTGGTTCAACTGCCCAGAGACGATGATGGCCTTTTCAATTCGCTCTTTGCTTGGCATGTGCACAATGCTGAATTCGCCAGGCACCGCGTCCTCGGAGTCCCGCTCCTCGCCGGACTTGCCACAGACGCAGCAGAGGTACTCCTCCTCCAGGTGATCGAGATGCAGCCGCACCCGTCGGTTCTGCAGCTCGTGATTGTGACGGCTCAGCTCCTCCCGTTGCTTCTTCACATTGACGATGACGTCGTCCACAAACTGTTTCTGAAACTTGATGACGGCGGAGCAGGGGCCACTAACGCAGTCAGCCACGCCTTTGACACACTGCATCGCCCCCCCCCCTCCTCTCTCCTCTCTCTCTCTCTC